AATTTACGCCTTGTATGTATTTCTCAAATTTAGGAAGCATTACTATGCTATGGTAATGATTCCTATGGGGTATAATATTACATACTATGGGCCACGGTAAGTCTCTCGATGGGAATGAAGCCTATGAACATAGGAGAAATTACTATATTGAATAGTACCCTCTACCATGTTACAGGGTAGAGTGTACTATTAATTACGGTAAAGGGACCCATAGTCGTTTGGTAAAGTTTACCATAGTTTATAGGAGAGATTACCATGCACTATGGTAACATGACCTATATTATATGTGGACGTCCACATGAAAAGGGAGCACTTTGTCGATTCTAGTTTCCGAGATATTCACGTTTTTGTCTCAGCAACTCCCATTTACACTCATGTTAAAGTGTTTTTTCATGTGCTCCGGCGACGGCATTTTTCACCCTATGAGGATCATTTTGGGCTCAAAATGTGCGGAATGTTATAAATATTATCAGAGTATACATAACTCCATATCGACAAAGTGGTCCCTTTTCATGCGGACGTCCACACATGGTAAAACGTGAAAAAGTCATAAAATGTCACGAATATAAAACATAATTATCACTAAACTATATCATGATAATGATGAGTATAATGAGATAGAAATTTCAAGTGGGATATATATTTATAAATTTTTTTCTTCTCGTATACCCTTTCGGGTCTTTACGATTTGTTCCCTTCCCACCCCCCAACCCCCTGTACCGCATTCGCCGAAGGACAAGGGAAAACCTCATTTGCGGGAAAAACCTGTCCAGGTACAGTCGTCTCTTGCGAGACTCCCGCTCGACAATGAAACCGTGAGATTTAGAGTGTTACAAATTTTGGCCCCCCCAGCCGGGAATCGAACCCGGGTCTCCCGCATGCCAATCCCATACTCCAACCACACAGCCACCGCTGTCGGCGATATATATTTATAGTTAATGTATTTGGTTTCGACGCTGTTTCAATAATTACAGAGTATTTTCTTATAATGTGGGATTCTTTCCTATCAATAATCATCAATATACCTAGATTAATCATATCGAATGTCGTAAGGAGCATATTTAACAATGACATATTTACATCAGTATTTTAATATCAGAATATAGATATCTACAGAATAGTGAGATTTTTTGCCCCAAATTTTACCTAGTCATTGGAAGAATTTTTGGCATTACGGTGCTATAAAAATCATTGAAAAATTCAAATGTGAGTAATTAAACTCAACAACTTTGCGTGAGAATTTAGATCCAACGTTTCGGAACGTATTGCTTTCCATTCCCGGAGGTAGCTATATACGATAAGATACAAAATTTCATTTGTCGAAATGTCAANAATATGTTTACATCAATAAATATATTTACATCCGTATTTTAATATCAGAATATATATATCTACAGAATCGTGGGATTTTTTGCCCCAAATTTTAACTAATCATTGGAAGAATTTTTGGCGCTATAAAAATTATTAAAAAATTCAAATGTGAGTAATTAAACTCAACAACTTTGCGTGAGAATTTAGACCCAACGTTTCGGAACGTATTGCTTTCTATTCCCGGAGGTAGCTATATACGATAGGATACAAAATTTCATTTGTCGAAATGTCAATGTTGACCACCTCTTATCATTTATATCAATTTTATAGCTATCTAGGATCCTAGGATTGCTATCTAGCTATCCTAGGATTGGAAATGTCTTTCAAAGGAGTATTCTTGTAATTGTTGAGTAACAAAAATAACTTGATTATTTGGCTGTAGGATTACGATATTGATCAAATGTAATTGAGGTCCAGCATCGGTCGGCATCATCAATATTACGTTTTCCCTGATATTATGTCCCAAATAATTGAGAGAGCTTACTATTGTAATATCTCCAGATCGATTGGACGGGAGAACTGGCAGAAAATGACGATAATTTGGATCTAATTCTAATCTCTTGTTAAGAGCTGGACCAGGGAGAAAAGGTGGTGGTAAAGACTTGTTGATGAGTAACCGATAATTCAATTTTAATTGTGCCTTGATGGCTATTTTTAGTATTTTCTACGATATCGAGAAAAGGAGAGATTACCATGTATAAATAGTACTGATTACCATCCACATGGTAATCTCTCCTATAATAATAGTTGTCGTTGCTATATTGTATAATAATGCCTACTATGTTCGAATGGTATTGATTACTATACAACATAGTACGCTTTACTGTTGAACATAGTAAAAATTACTATTGAGATTGACTTAGAAACCCTTTTACCATAATTTATGGTAACCTCTACCATATAAAAGTAACCCCTACCATTCACTTTTCTCCGTGTAGGTATGTGTGTCGGCTCCACGGCAAAATATCACATATCAAAATATCACCGGCAAAAAATCATGCCTCAAAATATCACGAAACAAAATATCACCGGTAAAAAATATCACAAATCAAAATATCACACACAAAAAATATCACAAACCAAAATGATCATAAACAAATAAAAAAAAAAAAAAATTACGAGTGTACATGAATTGAAAACAAATCAAACAATTTCTCCTTAATCCAAACAGAAAATCAATATATTGATTTATAAGGAGAGGGAAAAACCCAGCAGTGTTTACATACCGAAAATGGAATTAAATAGCCGTATTGTGGTAATGAATTATCGGAGAAAGAAAGAATTACACGGCCGTGTTCACACATGCGACGAAAAATCAAGAAAAACCATTGAAATATCATTGATTATATTGAAAATTAAAAAAATTAATTAATATTATTGGAAATTTAAAAATTACATGATATGATATGATATGATATTTTAAAAAGTGATATTTATCACAAATGATATTTTCATATTATGATATTTATCCATGTGATATTTTTTCATGTGATATTTTGCGGTGTGATATTTTGAGACTGATATTTTGCCGTGATGCCTATGTGTCCACATGTGTGTTCGTATGTCCAGAACTGTGCCCGTCACTCGAGAATTATTAAGAGAAAGATGCTGGAATTCTGGCTGCTAATTGGTACTACTGAGACTCAAATTTTTGCTAAGGTGCAGCTCGATCGGTTGAGCGGTTTCTGAGATATAGCGATTCTTCGAAAATTATTTTTTGCTCGTATCTCGTGAAACATTCGACCGATACGATATTTTTAAAAATACTCGTCATGATGATACCTATATAATTCGATTGAAAAAATACCATTACATCTTGTGTAATGTCGTTTTATTCTCGTTTTTTCATTTTTTCGTTGAAATGGCTTGTACGCACGATAAATTGAAAAAAAATAAGATAGAAACTTGAAACTTGATATGATTTTAGGTCTTATGGTAACAAAGTTTGGGATTCTGGATGAACGAAATCGGATTAGTAGTTACGGAAATATTCAACTTTGTATGTGAAAATCTTTTGCTCAATATCTCAAAAACTATCGGTTCGATTTCAATTTGTTTTCTTTTCAAAATATGCGTTTTAATCTCGTCTATCTAGATCAAGCAAAATATGGGTACCATCCCGTTGAAATTTTTCGAGATATCGTCGTTTTTGTATTTTTTTGGTCGGAATTCACTTTTTTTTTGCCCAGTGGCTTGGCGCAGTGGGTAAGTTTGTTATGCCTCACATGCGAAAGGTTCCGAGTTCCAATCCCGGCCGGATAGAACGGTGCAATCTAACCATTTAGTCTTGATCATCATCGCAGTATACCCGAACCGGGTAGAAGCGATGTAAAATAACGATAAAAAAAAGGAATTCACTTTTACGCACAATGACATGGGTAAAAGTCAGGGAAACCTTTTGAAACTTTGACTTCTAGTTAGGATTCTCAACGAACATTCCTATATCAACCTATATAGTTCTTAAGGTGGACCAATTCACCCTGAATTCTTGAGAAAAAAAATTGGTGCATCTATATTTCACTTTTCATTTTCACATCCGGATAACTGAGAAAGCCATATAACATGAATATATGGTTTTATTTTTTGAAAACAAGCATTCAGAAGCTTACTACCAATGAAATTGGTAGAAATGAAAATAGGAGAAAAAAAATACGTGGAGAGTAGCAATCATATGTAATCCGTCAAATGGCTTCTGTCGCGCTGCTTGATTAGACAAAAAATAAATACAAAAATATCCATTTTGTCTTTAGATACGCAGATTCCTAGGAAATATTGGTGTTTCAAAGTCATTTGTGGTTTGAGATGATTAGCAAATCTGATCAAATTGCGGTTCACCGACACTTCTTGTCCATAAAACCCCTGTGAAAGTTACGCTCCAAGAAACTCTCTTTTAATTCAACACATTCAGTGTTCCTGATTTGATGGAAAGAAAAAAAAAACGAAAATTACCAATTGTCTGTCAGTGGTCTGTTTTGCCCTAGGGGTTCGTTTGGCCGTGCGCTCCATTTTACCCTCCCGCTCAGTTTGATTTTTCATACTATATATGTTTCCTCACAATTTGTGAACAAAGTGCTGAAGTCACCATGTATATGTGCGGCAAAAAATGCAATATGTGAGATATATGCGTGATGTATATGTCACATATATGTGCCCGTATATATTCAATATATATTTCATATACCGCATTTTTTGCCAAACATATATTTAAAATATATCGAACATATATCCTGTATATATTTGGTCGCATATTTATTTTTTCCGGGGGGGTCAGGGGAAATTCAATTTTCGCAACCAACAATAAAAATATTCCAGAAAAATTTCCCTCACAATCTCCACACAGAAAAAAGAATCACTACCATAAATTACAGCACAATAGAGGTAATTCAAGCATGAAATTGTATTTTATAATGCAATTTTTCATGAAGGAACAGGAAAATTCATGCACTGTTGGAGAAAATCTACAAAAAATATGGATAAACTTTACCACATTTCCAGTGAATTTTTCCGCACTCCATTCAGCAATTTTGACTGCACTTTCCTTGCAATTAATCGTCGATTTTTTTCTCCATGCAATATTTCTCGATTTTAATTATCTTGCACTAATGTGATCGTTCTTTCTTTCAGATGCACCACCAATTATAATGTATTCATTCATCGAACAGACGCTCCAACCGGGTCCCGCTGTCTCGTTGAAGTGTTCAGCAGCCGGCAATCCAACACCTCAGATAAGCTGGGCCCTCGATGGATTTCCATTGCCTACAATAACCCGGTAAAACTTCAATTACCCCCTTTCCAATATAATACCAAGTGAAATGCCTACCGTAACAAAATAAATTTGCTCCCAATAAATGGTCGCAAATATCTTCTGATCCCCAAAGTCCATTTTGATTTCTCCACAGAGTGCTTCAATGCAGTTGACAATTAAATTTCCATTCTTCACCAAAACAGGCGAGAGAAAATGAAATAGATCAAAACTACAAGTGGGGCTTCTAGTTTTCCACTCCAACCCAATTTCAATTTTGTTTCCATCGATTGCACGGTGAAAGAGGCCACAAGAAAACGAATATTTATTGCCAGTTCTCGTTTAGCTCTGAGGACGGTTAGCTGTAAACCTCGACCAACATGTATATCTATAGTTTTCTATGAGCATACACGCTTAGACGAGAGTATTCGCATATGCGCAGACTGTTTCGTCACTCGTTCCAAACGACCCATTCACCAACCGGTACAGAAAAAAAAAGCAAAATGGAAAAATTTCTTCCAATTGCACTTCTCGCTGCACCTCTCCTCGTTCTCTCCTACAAATATCTCCCACTATTTGTTCCTGTATTTTTTTCCATTGTCTTTGCCAGTATCAGTAAAACTGGGGAAAAGGGGTTGGAGAGAGTGGGACGAGGGTTGCGAGTGAGTGCTGCAAATAAATTTCCTGCAGAATGCCTCTCTCGAGTTTGTACCAAACTAGAAAGTGCATCCAGTTTTTCGTTTTTATTTTGCTGTCGTACGCAGAAGGTGAAGAAAAATAACCAGATAAATTTATTGGTCTATGGTAATTAAATGGGATTTTTCCAGATTCGTTATCGGCCAGTACGTCACTGTCCATGGGGATGTGATATCACATGTTAACATCAGTCAGGTCATGGTTGAGGATGGTGGGGAGTACTCGTGTACTGTGGAAAATAGGGCTGGGAAAGTCACACATGCTGCGCGACTCAACGTTTATGGTAAAATTGAAGAGATTAATGGAAAAATATTTTCCTAGCTAAGCACCAATTTAAGGATATTAGTTTTCGGAATGATGAAAGAGCCAGTGACATAGGATTTATTTACATAAATCTAATTTTCATCACTTTACCCCCATTGATGCATTTATTCACAGAGTACGTAATGGAGTCTGTAATTGTTTGAAATACGTTTATTTACACTTGCTCTTCTCGTTCTATCCGTTAAAAGAGCAAATTTAATTAAATCCAATGAACTATTTATCTAGCAGATCATTTACATTTTAAAATAAATTCTCTATTTATGCACTGGATTACAAATACTCCAATGAATGTTATCTCCATCTAAATTATATTACTGTTATTTGATCCTGTGAGTGATCGCATCTATAAGGAAATTCCCGCCGGTTTCCTGTTTTTCTTTTTACACGAGAACTTTGTGAGTGAAAAATTTATAAAAGTTTGTATTCCTACTTTCAAATATATTGAACACATTCACAATTTTTTTTGATCCTTACTTACACCAATAAATTATTTAAATCTTCGGAAAACTCGACTCGCTGAAAACCCCTGCGTTGCGCCTCAAAATATCCAATTTTACACCTAATGAGATTGAGGTCTTGCACCGAGAGAAAAATTCAATAAAAATTACCAGAAAAAAACGTAAAAATTACGTTTCGAAACGTAATCCTCGAGCGAAGTAAAATTCAATAAAAAGTGTGGGTCGGAGCTGAAATTGTACGAATCCCTACGTAAATTCTACGATTTTTTCCGTAAAAATTAACCAGCCGTCTGATAACTCACCGCTGTGGGGACAACAAGTCATTCCGTAATTTTTTCCCAACGATTGAGAAATTTTACGGAACGGAACGTAGAAATAACTCACCAGCTTCATAAAGATTATTGAACGTTCAAGAATTTTTGATTTTTGAGGCATAATAAGTCGCTAAGTTTCTGTAAAATTTTACTTCTTCGAGAAAAATTACGTGACAATTTCATACTTTGTTCGGTGATGAACCTGAAAATTCACACTGAACGTTTCAGATTTCTTCTCTTCCATTCCTATAAAAATTGCCGCAAAACGATTCCCCATTGTGGATTACGTGAATTGTTCCGTAATTTTTGCTGCATATTTCTCTCCGTGTGGTTTATGTGAGAAGTGATTCTCTTTTATATCCCCATTTACTATTCACTGAAGGTTCAAAATTTGCCCATAAAGAAAGATGAATTCGTTTTTCCAACTTTTTTTTTCATGAAATCGTAAAATACATGAGGCAGGGATTCTTTTACTATGCGACTACATTCGTTAAAGAGCTGCGACCACTTAAGGATTCTCAAGTACTTTGTTCAAGTTAGCAACTTTTCTTCAAACAAGATTCAGTTTTGCCGAAAATCTTGCCATCCCCATACTTTTTCGGATTTTTCATTGTTGAATATATATTTTCTGGGAGTTTCTTCAATGAGTATTGAAAAGAATATTTTATTCAATTTCATACTTGACTCTCGTTGGTCGAACCTCTAATGATCATACGGCAACACTGCACATGTATTCCCTATAACCTCATAAATTCAGTCAAAGTACTCATTGAGCGGACCGTTGCCAGGCGTTAGGAACGCGCGGATTTAAACCACCCAATATAGCCGTCGTACCAATCGAGAAGCTTCCAATTTGATTATTTGCAATTATCTATCCGGAAACTTATGTTTTTCAATGTTGCAAAAAAACTAGAGGGTATAACGAACAAAGTCGTATACGGTTATGTGTACGAGACCACGCTTTACAACTATGAACTATTGGATTGAAGGTGAGAGTATATAGCCTCTATGGAGACATGTATAAAAAAACCTATAGCATATCCTGTAGGATTTCTTATAGGATTCCTTATCAGGCCTTACATATTGTATTTCTTATAGGATGTCCTATAGGATTTCATATAAGATTTTCAACAGGATTTCCTATAAAATTTAGGGGCATAAGGATCACAATGACGATCAAAAGTGTCATATTGGGGTGACATGGGGGTTATATAGGGATTATAGGGTAATATTAAGGTCATCTGATCCTTATATGTCCTCCATGTAAGTCTCCTATGACCTCCATATGATCCCTATATGTCTCTATGTGACCCGCATATGGCCCTTATATGACCCACATATGACACTTATATTACCTTCATACGATCCTCATATGCCCCCTATATGATCCTTATATGACGCCCATATGACTCTTTTGACCGGTCATTCTGACCCTTATGATCCTAATTTCATCGGAAATCCTATTAGAAATCGAATAGAAGAAACTTGATAGGGAATCCTATAATAAATCCTATAGGAAATCGTATCTGAAAAATCCTATACGAATGTTCGAAGTCTCCAAAGGATGTTTTCATATGTGAGGCAATGTGTTAAATTTCATTTTTCTTAAAATCGTTTCCTCGGAAAAATGTTCGGAAACTAAGATTGATATTGCGCCCAGAAACTACTCTCGTCGATTCTATAAACTCTGAAGAGGATTTCTCCCAGAAAAAATGACCTGAACTGCTTGGATATCCTAAAGGGTCAGTAGGATTATAATGATGCAGATAGGATATTCATTTTGATGGATAGAAGGATATATAGTCGACCTCAAATCGAACTGATGGTAATGTTTACTTGACAACCACCCCACCCATCACAACTGACTCACGCTTTCTTTTCTCATCTAAACGTACACTCCTTTCTTTCTTAATTCCAACGAGATGGTCCGCACGTGCTACGCACGCGCCTTCTCATCTCCTCACGTAGTTGTGCTTCGATTTCAGTCTTACGCTTACGTTTATTCGAGATTTTCGAGATATTTCGAGATCGATTTCCTTTCTCCTTTTTACGATAGGATATACTTGCTTACTCACACAAACTTTCATCCAATACAACCTTTCTTCCAAAAAGTGACCTCACGTGGTTTTACTGTAGTTAACCCATTGAGTCATGGAGCTTGTTCCCCCCCCCAGCGACCGGGCGTTCGGAGGCGGGAATGGGGATGGTGCGCTCAGGGACGTATCTGAGAGTCCAATTCAAAAATGAGAAGGATTCTTATCATTCTTATCATTGCATCATTCGATAAAACTTCGTTTAACCAGTTAGCAATATTCTTAATGACGAATTGCAACAAATAATAACCATGAGTATCGAATACAAATACACTTACCTGATCTAACCTCAAATAATGTGTTTATGTTTCGTAGGGACGGGAAACGAAATGCATTATCGAAACGAAAGTGCGTTTCTGCCGTTTCGTTCCCGGAAACGAAATGCAGTATCGAAACGAAAGTGCGTTTCTGCCGTTTCGTTCCCGGAAACGAAAGTAGAACCGAAACGAAACTGGAAACGAAATTGGAATAACGTTATTACGGGAAACAAATTTTACGTCATTACGGGAAATGGAATTTTTTCATTTTTTTGACCATTTGGGCCAAAAGGTCGTATAAACATTTTCCCAGGGAATGTGAAATCTCCACGTTTAGGATGATTCTGAATCATGAGCTCATTTTTTCGAGTTTTTTTTTAAATTTTTTTTACGCGTCATTTTTTCAATTTTTTGAAAATTTGGGCCAAAAGGTCGTATAAACACTTTCCCAGGGGATATGAAATTTCCACGTTTCAGATGATCCAACACCCTCAAAAACCCTCAAAAAGTTGGGCGCAGATGACTCCAAATTATGTGAAACGTGGACATTTTCTATTCCCTGAGAGAAAGTTTATGCGACCTTTGGCCCGAATATTAAACAAGCAGGGTAGAGGCCTATTCGGTAGAAGCCATGTGGCCGTTACTTTATGCGTTATTAGTATTTTCCTTCTTTTCCTCTCTGCCAATTTCATTGGTAATAAGCTTCCGAATGGAAGCAATTCCGATTTCAAAAATGAAAAATCAGTGCATAAATTTATGTTATATGACTGTTGAAGTCTTACGGAGACAAGAATCATTGATAACATGACGATGTATGATTTAAAAAAAAAAAGATTTTTGGATGAATCGTTCTACGCCAGGATGTACTGAATCGATTGACCCAAAATTTTATATAAGTGTGGGTTAATGATGCGAATCAGTAACCAAAATCTCAGATGTTTACTTCCAGTTTTACGTGTATTATGGACACCACATGAACTTTTGAATGAAAAAAACAGAAAAACGCTAATATCTCGGAAACTTTGTGCGGGCGGGTATACATATTTTGATTGATCTTGATAGAAGGTACCATGACGAATATTTAAAAAAAAAAGTGAATCGGCCCAGTAGATTAGAAGTTTAATTATGAAAGTTTAAGTATAACAGATTTTCAGAAAAAATTGAATATCTCCTAAACTCATCCGATTCTACCCATCTACAATCCCAGCCAATGGCACCATCAGAGCTACAATCCTATAAAATTTCAACTTCCTATCTTGATTTTTCAGACAGTTATCGCGCGTACACCGATTTTCTCATCAAAATGAAAAATGCCAATTATTAGCAAACCATCGCTAAATAGGTAGCAATATTATGATTTGATTCGATAGATATTATCACAAGGAATATTTCGACGTAAAATAAATTCAAATCAATCACGTACTTTTTGAGATATTGAGGAAAACAGATTTTTGAGAAATTGCTGTATCTCGAAAACTACTGCACCGATTGAGCTGAAACTGCGCCCCAAAATGCTCCAAAGTAATACCCATTAAATGACGAAATTTCAGATTTCTAGCTTAAACTTTAGTCCTTTTTGCTTCCGAAGGGAAGCATTGTTTTTGGTCGATTTTTCGATTCTCTAATTTTGGTTGCAAATGGTCTATCACGTCATGAAACGTAAAGAACTGATGTTTTTAGGGGGGTGTCTGTATGTATGTGAGTGCAGATTCAGGTTTTTGGTGATTCAATTTTAGAAAAATCAACGTAACAAGCAGGGGTTCGAGCCCATCCGACAGAAGGCATGTGACCGTTACTTTTTGTAGTAAGCTTCCGAATGGATCCGTAGCAATTCTCT